GGGGTCTGGCTCCTCATGTATAAAGACCAGAGCAATATAGCGTAGTATGGTAGTCTGATCTTAGCGATCAAACACCGTCTACTTCACTCTACTCTCTCTGAGTTAGCCACTCCCAAGACAAGCACTACGCTTCACTCTTGTAACTACCAGAACTACACAAGTAAGTACTGGGGTTAGGGTTAGAGTTAGGGTCAAGGGCGATACCTTGACAGTCACGCTGCAGGTAAAATTGAACCCCTTATCTCATAATATACACTGGTGACGTTGACATGGTACAGGCCGCAATTGACTGTTCACAGCTTGGGTTTCAGGCTAGCACATCGTGGTCATATACGAACCATAAGGTAATCGAGGTAATTTTGTCAGGGCTACTACCTGAAAATAGCCTCGCTCGTGCTATCTTAGATGCTATGAACGGATTTGGAGGCAAGTGTGATAACAGTCTACTCGTATCCGTCGCTAAGTATTGAGCTTGAATGTGATACTCAGCGGACGCATACATACCAATATACGACACGCAATACCTAATGCCAGTCTCAAATACAACTGTAGTGCTCCTCAGTAAGGTCACAATACAATTCCAACCAAACACGATGCAGGTGGACTACAACTCCCAGCCACCGGAGATTGACATCGTGTGGTATAATGGCATCTCCCAGCAGGATCTCAGCATTGTCGCGAACACCGGCAATTACGGAGCTGTTCCGTACCAGACTACATACACATTATACAACCTAGTTCAAGTATTCTATTCTGCGATCCGGTTAGACGTTGGACACTGGACGCCTAACAATGTAAGTCGTTTCCCTGGACTTAGTCATGTTATATTCAACCAATAATTTCCATGCAACAGATCCTTACTAATTTGACCGCCTTCAACCAGACCCTCGTACCTGCTGGTCCCTTTGTGGAAAGTGCCCTTTCGGAGTCGAACGTGCTTGCATACACCAACTTAACTTCTCCACCCGCCGCTGATGTAGCTACACCCCCTGCGGTAATCCAAATTCAGTATACATGCAATATTCAAAAGTACAAGACCCTGGGCAGTCTATTTATGAGCGTCGCCGCAGCAACGTTGTCCATGTTTTTGTAAGTCCAGAATGATGGTCTCACGCGAGGTTGATGTGAATATAATGGATGCCTAGGTCTGCCTGGAGCATACTCACGACTCTGATGGCTACAATTGCAAGACGAGCACTGGGAGGTAAGCTTTGTGTAAATCAGACTGGATTACCTCTCACGCTTCTCCCCAGCTAACACTTGCAGTGCCTGCGGACAATGTGCCGACGCTAACATCATGATGAACAGCGAGTTTCCCGCTCCAAATCCCAGTGCCCAGAGCTTTAACAGGAAAGTAAATACGCCATATGGGGAGCAGCCAGCACATGATGTCATGGTCCTCCTGCCGCTAAGTGGGTGTTCCCCTCGTGACGGAAAATATGAATGATATGCTGGTGAATTCATCTGATAAAATCAGCGTCGTTCACTCACGATCACGGTCGTTGGTATTTGTCCTATTATGGTCAACTGTTAAAATCATGGATATGTCACTATCATCTAGCATTTCTTTGAGACCAGTTTATGAGATCTCCAAGTGAGAACCAGAAACATTTTTCTATATGGTACGCCAGTAGGCCAAGTTATTTCCTCATAGCTTATTCCAGGGCGCCCTTCATAGCTTAAACTCAGAGAGTGCGTTTCAAGGCAGATCCATATGACGACTGTCTTCCTTACACTTCTTTCGTTCTTTCATTCTCTTCTCTTTTCTCAAAAAATCGTTGCTAAGAGTTGTATGCGGGAGACTAGCATAATCCGGATCTCGGCATCGATTAGACCGAACTCAAGACAGGCATGTGCGGTACTGAATTCATGATTCGTGAAAGACGAAGGAGCACAGCAGGAATAAGTAAAAGCATCGGGACTCCAAAATATCTACTTTGCCCGGTCACCAAATCCGGGAGCCCACTCGTCGAAACTCAGCACTCGCACTTCCAGACATCCACACTTCTGCAAAGCTGGAAATTTTGCCTCGATTTGTCGACAGACTTCTAGTCCATCGACTTTCCCATGAATCTTGCCCGTCCATTCCACTCGCACCTTTTGAATGGACTGGAACATCTTTCGAGACAGAGCTTTATCGATGTTCACCCATTCGCCGATATCTTGATTTTGTTTCTCACCACGCAGATGAGAGAAGCGGATTTCGAGCGTGACGTACTGGAGGCATCTGGTAGATAGACTCTCGAAAAAACTCCCCAGCCCAGATATACAACCTTCATCGAGCCAATTTGGACCCATATTGATGCGTATCGAAGCGAGATGCTGCAGATGCTCTGATATAGGCCATGTCCCGTCCGGCAGTTTGTTCACTATAATGTGGAGTTTGTAACTGATTTAGACGAAAGGCAGTCCACAACACACCTGTCGAATCATTGTCATAGTCCATATCTAACTCATTCAGTGTGCGAAGTTGTGCGAAGAAACGAGTGAGAGGTTGAGTTGGGATTTTGATATGGAAGATATATACCGAGCGCAAAGTTTCCATCGATGGCGTAATGCATAGCCATTCCAAGAGTAGTCTGGCCGCGATCCAGCTTATGTGCAACTCTTTAAGCCGAAGACTTCGTCCCAGCTGGGTCTGACAATGCTGTTCGGTATGTGGCCATTCAATATTGTAGAGATATAAGCGCGAGAGCTGAGGGAGTGTACAAATCAGACGTTGGAAATCCCGAAAGGATGAAAACAGGGAATTGGATACTTGAAGCAATGTGACTGATGAAAAAAAGTGAATAAACATTGCAGGAGCGAGGTGTGATGGGAGATGCTGCCATCCGCCGTTGGAGATATGGAGTTCCACGACTGTTGATAAACCGGTCGAGAAGAGGATAGGAAGAAGATAGGCGATCTCATCTCGCAATGGCCTGAGGAAGGGGTTGTACACATGTATGACGCGAATGCATGCAAAATAAGGTCTTATATGCGACAAACGAAAGACTTGCGCAAGCAGCAGTACTGTCTGCTTCTTGTGTATGGAGATACAGCAAAAGAGTCGTGTTCGACACCTGTGGACAAAATTGCGGCATACAAGGGAGCACGCGCAAAGGGTGCGATTATCAGGATAGAAGTTGAAATGGTCGATGATCAATTCGAAGACTTCAAGCGGGAGCACAGGTACCAGATCGACTAGGTTGTCAGTAGTTTTATCCTGGTAATCATTGACTGAGATGTCAACACATATGCAAGCGGTTCATCTGGTACAGAACCTCGTACCGAGTGAATCCCGAGGCTATTGTCGCGCTTGATAAGAGATTTAGCCACTGGAGGTCCTTCAGCCATAGACGCGCCTTGCTTCAGTGCCCCAGCCGTGAATTATCAGATGGCACTTCTTCGATAGTTACGGAGACCCGACTGACTATGAAGACCGATTTATCCTAGCTGTCGTGGTTGCACATCAGAGCAATCCGACTGGATGACTAGGAAGGACTCGGAAGAGGAGATTACCCATAGCCTGAGAGAGACCTAGCAGTGACATTATAGGCGCCCGGTCTTCTCGCAGACATCCAATAAACATCTCTACATATTACTCATGACTTGGGAGTCCGCTTGCTGGCTAATCTAGCTGTCTTCACTCATCCGAGCTAATACATACCGCCCACAAGGTCCAGCTCACTGCTGCGCTCATGAATTGGAACCTCGGAGAGACAAACACAGCGCCCCTCAGTATACTCTCTTGACCGTGGCTCAGCGTCATACTTCAAAGCCGAATCTCATCTCGTTCTGTTTTGTACTTACGATTAGTCAATGAGACGCGACAAGGTACTAGCATCGCTGTGAGCCCAACGCGGCGGCCAATTGAGAAAGTGTGGTAGTGAAAACATACATCGCCATTACGTGAGGAGTTCGCCGTTGAGTCAGGACGATCAGTCCGCAGCGGGTTCACGAGTGCGTGGATTTATTTGTGTCATATATATCGTTTGGCTGACGTGCTGTCTTACCATAGGTTTTAACTGTGCAGACAGGTAATCGCCGCTGCTCGTCCTCTACCTTTACACACTAGTGCTGCTTATGATGGACGATGTCGAGTTCTTCTCGAGTGGGTTGAACAACAACAGTGCAGCACGCAATCCGCTAAACTTTGATGAGTTCTACGATGATCTCGCGCAAACACCTGAACATTGCGTTCGCCCTGTACTGATGCTGAGGACTTGATTTACGTTCAGCGTAGTGACGTTCCTGGGCTGGGCTATTTGAAATGAGAGGACGTAAGAGAAAAACTCACCAAATATTTGCAAAAATGAGTGTCATCAGTGTGTGATCATCGATGTCGTTGTCGGCCCTCGTTGACGATTCCTCACCATCAGCTCGACCAAAACAATTACCTTACTGGGTTGTCCCAATGCCTTGGCTGCCCAGACGAATCGTCGAGAACAAAGCATCTCGCATATTCGGAGCCTCTTACTGCTACGGACAGAGGTTTTGACGTGAGTATCATATACTGACTTCCTCCTTTCTGCCGACCTAATTTTGCGGACGCCATATGGCAGGGGTACGAAGTGGTCCATCTCGCAGTAGGAGAGATATGATGTATCTAACGGCAGTCAAAAATGGACCTTTCAAGGATGGAGAAGTGAAGGACGAGGGGGACTGTTGCGCGAAAGCTGTGAAGTGGAGTATCTCGCATTGATTAATCTCGTCACTACATTGTCACTATGCTTCATGGCGTATCTACTCAATGATGATCATTATGTTGTTGTACATCCGAGATAGACTCAAGCCAAACAACCACGCAGTTCAAGTTGAGTCGAATTCTAAGAATACGATAAGAATTCAGATACATCATATTTCGAACCTCAGATCAACCAAGATAAGTAGATGAGTAAGACAGGCAGCCCAACCGTTCAAGTCCGAGCATAGTTAAGCCAGGTTGTTATGCTCTTCGAATGCGCAAGATGCCACATCGCGCCAACTTAGGGAATCGGGCTTTGAGGTGCTGGGGAACGAGTTCTGAGCTAAAGTACCCGGAATTGAAATTCCACCCCATCCACCGAATTTCAACCCTCTCGAGATTTGAGAATGACCCGGTCACTAACGCATCATCGATGTTATCCCAATCTCCACGGTCTATTTCCAAAATCTCGTTGGAAGAGTCTTCCATGACGAACGATACTATAATCCGCTTGAGGTGCTTCGATTCCCCAGAAAATTTCTTTAAGAATCTTGCAGCTTGCAACAGACGTCCCCGGGCCTTCCATTCCGTACCTATATCGACTTTGAGCAGGGCGAGATGTGGAAAGAGGGTTGTCGAGGGACTCGAGAAACCCTGCAGTTCGTTTTCATCTGTCAGAAGCAAAATAAAACTGTCAACAAAATGACACGGTGGGATATGAACGAACGGCTGACCTTCCGGAAGTTGAAAATAGAGCCGTTCCAATATTTGAAACTGTCGCGCGATCAGCTCGGCGAGGAGAGGCATGTTGATCCCTGGCTGCTCTGCATCAAGTGGCTCATCGGAAGATCGGCAGGACCTTTTCCATTCGGCAAGTGTCATAAATCCATTCCTCTTAGGTGGGCGGGCATTGGGATCGTCAACATAAAGCTCGCGCGCGTGGGTCAAATAGGGTGCCAAGTGGGGCTGCTGTAACATATCTACAAGGCGTTGCAAAGCAAAGTTGTCGCTGATCCTGATTGAAGCAAAGAGACGCTTGCGACACCCGTGGACAAATGCCTTGCAAACCAAAGAACAGCTCCGCAAGGTGCGCACATTTCTGGAAGGATGTAGTTGGTCGATGATATGCTCGAAGATCTCGAGCGGAAATGCGGCCTCTTGCCGCGCATCTTCTACTGGAACGAGCTGGGCACAAAAATGAGATGATTTATCTATGGAAAGTCATTCAAAAAAGCCACAAACTTCGGCACCCTCATCCTCATCGTGGGTAATCAAAGTTGAGAATACATTATCTTGATCGATTCGAGTAGCCTGAGAGGGGAGCATAGCGTCTCGCATTGCTGCCTGCCAACGTTGCCACAAGGGTGGTAAAAAAGCCATTCAACAACATGAATGTTCAATAGAATACCTTTGAATTGTTTATTGTGAAGAGGCCGGATGGCAGGGTCCGAAGCATCAGGGCGACACTCAGGTTTGCCACAACCAGCTTTTAAACTATCAAGCCGGCATTATCCGCGGCTGCCTGTCCACCGAGGCCACATTGTCCTTGTGGCATCTTCAGCGTGTGCACAACCACCGCCACTTACCATAGCAGACAGCCACTTGTTCGATCCGCCTTGTGTGGTTGGCTGCCTCGCGACTGTTGACCTTGCCATCCTGTCGCTACAGTGCCAAACAAATCTTCAAATCCTGACGAGTCTAATTTCTCTAGGCCAACGTTGATTCGAGTATCTGCTCGAATACCGAACCCGTATCTGTAATACTCAGATCAACAACGCCAAAGACAAACTCCACCTGTACATTTGGACTGAGCAGTGCATTAGCTGCAATCTACAGACCAAGTTGCTCACAGGGGAGAGTAGTGTGCATCTGATGGCGTTTGCTGATTCACTGGGACTGTCGGCGGCTGAATAGAGAATCAACATGTTGACACAGGTTGACACACCTCAACTTCGGACTGCTAGCCGCGAACATGACCGTTCACGGATCCTCGTCAGCGCAAGCATCCTTAGATATACTGCCTGATTCGCTCTGAGGCAGCGTCCCCGCATGAAGGAACACACCCATAATCTCATCATCGAACCATGTCTTCCCCTTCCTAGACCATGGTCTTCAGCCTATCGCCGAAGACGCGCGATCAGGTTATCTGACCGCCTCTGATAGTTCTCCTGGAGATGCGCGCAGTGTTCTCTCCGCCGTGGAATGAATGAAAGAAGAGAAAAACAAGGCGATACTGATGTTCGTCGATGATTAGTCCCATTTGACATCTTGTACGTCTGTGCCTTCGTGACCACACAGACATACCGGTGGAACAGCGCATCATGGCAAAATCTCTCGGTGCCGTCATACGCGGCGTATCATCGCGCTGGGATGGGCGCGCTAAGGTTGACAGCAGTAATGTTGTGAGATGCAGTCTATCCGCCTGTTCTACCTCCGCCTCTCCGGAACGAACAGCGCAGCGCTCCAAGGATATATGAGATAGTACTATGGGCATCGGTGGTCTGAAAGGTTCGAAGTCTTTAGGATTCCGTCCGGATGGATTGAGGAGGCGATGCAGTGGCAGGTTGAGCAATTACCCCGCTCCATAGTGTTTTACGCCAGAGAGCGAGAGAATACACAACATGGCAGAGACAGTGTTAGTATTGCTGGAGGTGTAAGTCAAAGGAGAGAAGCAGTCTGGGTTTGAGAGAAGTATGCGGACAACGGTGGGTGCAGCGAATCGGAGGACGTGGTACTCAGTTCGGTCGAAGGTCGTCTCCGCTCGGTTGTCTCCGAAAGGGCACCTCCGCTCAATGTGACCGTAGAGGTCGTTCATCAGAATTGTTTCGAGTCTGAGTCGCTGACCTCCTTCAGAGTCGTTATCTTCAGAGTAGCAGATGACAGTACTAATGCGTCTGCATCACTATCCATCCGGTGAAAGTACAAGCTTTTATAGCGAACATGTCGACGAAAGCACCCAACCTAGACGACTCGGATGCCCGGTGAGTGTTCGAGTCTTGTATCGCTTCCAGCGACTTTTATTTTCGTGGTATGTCCTTTGCATGCGATCATCTACATTCAGTCTGAGGATGGGTTCGTATAGGTACTCCGGCTCTGTTGGGTATTCCTCCGCTCTGTCACGGACATTGCAGGTGTCAACAGATGCCAATGGTCGACCGTCAATAACTGGACATGTTCTTGAATCACGCTGTGTCCAGTATGAGCTGGATCTCGTTTGGCTATGACCACGCAGTCGTCCTTTTTGGAATACTCTTGCAGTTGTTTGCAGACAGTCAGACCAGCAGACTGCGCATATATGATAAGAAGTCTGAACAGAAAGTATGTGTCCACTCACCTCTGTGCTGCTCCCAAGAGACCTTTCTCGCTAATGCGAGCACCAAGGGCGGGTAGAGTGATTTTGTGCGACGAGCCTGATTCGTCCGGGACCACGAGAGCACTGGCCACATGCGATGCGACGCTCGTTGGCTGTGTCGATTCATCCCGAGTTGAAATAGGTTTTGTGCTGAATTCTTGACCGTCAATGATGCGTGAATCTCAAATATAGGAGTCATACCAGGCCCGAGGAGAGTAGAGATGTAGAGCTGGATCATTATACTACGTTCACATAGGTGGTATACGCAGCGAGATATGCTACTAGCTAAGTTATCCAGGACGTCTTTTGGCTCTATCTGTCCTCGTGGGACTTGACCAGTGTACCAATAATGGATGTGGTTTTTTTAGGACACCAATGAGAATGATTAAATTGTGGAGTGCGTCAGGCGACGTACCATGCGCGCCCCAGTGCCTGTACATTCAGATTCCTCTTGCAGCTGCCTTCCCGCGAAACATCAGGCTTGATATCATCCATGTTGTCTCAGATTCTCTGCTAGCACCTGTGTGTCGTGGCCTTTCGCTGAACTTGACATGTTGCGACTCTTGTGTACTGAGACTTAATCGAATACAGCACTCTTTATCTAGAGATATCGGGATAGCATGATCATCCGATACATCAAATGTAACAACAGATTCAAGTCTGAGGAAATGGAGTAACTGAGATAGTGGGGTGATTCGCCAAAATGTGATATTGAGTCAAGTATATTCCAATTTGTGCTGACCAGACTGGAGAGCACCCGCCTGTTCGCATATGTTGGAGCGTCGGATTACATATGTAAACCCAATAAATCGGGGTTGTGATTCCTTTGATTGTGTTGTGACGCTTCTGTCTCGAGCCCAAATATCTCGCACATGCCCGGCTGCAATTTGTTCAATATAATCCAAGACGAAGCCTAAAGCGCACACGTACGCATTCAGAGTGACTCGAGACTGCCAGGCCAGAATGCCGAACCATCCTTGTTGTCTTTGAACCACGGCACATCATGTCCAAGAAGTACTCGCACCCGCGGCTGCTGCGAGACTTGCGTTATCCACTCGATCGACTTTGCCGCTGTCTCCTTGTCCCTGTGTGCGCATCCGTAGTGCTCACTGTCGGCTATTTGTGCCCCGCCTGTGAGAAGGCGCCAGTCGTGCGCCGCATCCGCTGCGAGGTACACCCACCCTCCGTCCGACGATGTGCGCGCGAGGACTGTAACATGCCCCGGGATGTGCCCGGGCGTATCCACGATGTAGAGGCTCCCGTCGCCGTAGAAATCGAGCGCATGGGGGAATGGACCGATCGGGCTCATCTCCGCTGTTGATACATAGCGTGTTCGTCCGTGAGGGAGCAGGTCAGTTGGGAAGTGTGCATTCGGATCAGTAGGGTAGCCCGGAATGAGGAGCGGCCGAGTGTCTTCCCCGGCAATGAAGGTCGCGTTGACAAATGCAGCAGGGTCCCCCTGATGGTCGAAATGGATGTGCGAGATGCAAACGTGCTTGATCTGCGATGGTTCGTATCCTCCCTTCTGAAGAGATTCGATCACATCTTGTGGAACATCGACGCTGTACCACCGCTTCGTTGCTTTGACCAAAGCAGGTGGAAGACCTTCCTCCCAGTCTTTCCGTATCCCAAGATCGAAGACAAAGGTATCTCCGTTTGAAGAATGGCGTAACAGGAAGGCAAGGCAGGGAAAGCGAGAGACTTCGTCGTGTTCAGCTGTGTCTACTATTTGTGCCATTGGAACGTCGACGTATCCGGCTTCCAAAGCCGAGACCGTGCAATAGCTCTGGTCTACCGAAGGCGGTGGGAGAATCATTAGAAGGAACACCTTTCATAACAGCAACACTTAGTTTGCTACACACGTTGGCGACCAGGTACAGTACGTACAAAGTTGTAGAGCCTCAGGTGACTGAATCACGTAGAGATATCGAGTAGACGAATATATAAGCCTTGAGTACTGCTACCGCGACTGCCTGAGAGAATATTGTTTGAGTACATTTAATCTTGATATTTATGGCCATTACAGTGGTGTTGCACTGTACTTATTTGGCTAGTGAGGCGTGCTCCAACGGCCATTTTATCGGAACACGTAGACCGCCCTATACATTGTTCCAGCAGCCTTGAATACAACGAAAAGGAAGAGATAGTATGAGGACGCATGAACGAGACAGGTCGTCTCTCCGTTGGTCTTTGTGCGTCAGCGAGTTGATTTAGTTTGGCTTGAGATGAAACTTGTCTTTTGAACGCGGCATCGAGGAACGGCGAGTTGCTTATCTGGGCTAGCTTTTCAGTTGTTTGGACCTGAACGCATATTTGGTAATTGTGTCACGATATACTGGATCATGGTGAGTCTATTTAGGATTAGCAAGACAGAACAAATAACTAAGCTCTGAAGAATGCAAGCATCGAAAGCGAAGTAGATCTAAAACAAGAACAGCGGTGAACTCACGGTATTTTGAGTTCAGCATGGTGTAAAGCTACTCTCCCAAGGCTCTTAGCGATGAATCCTGCTGTCAAGAGAACATGTCGAGCCTACACTGTGCCGGCTCCAGAATAGATCGACAGCAATATCGCGTTTTCGGGCCAGAATCGTACGTCGGTTTTGACATCACTAGTAGAGTGTTCGCTGAAGCCTTATAATTCTAGTGCTCAAAGTTGTGGCCGGCGAGAACTACATCCGTGGGCGTGGAATCATTTGAGCGCCAGTTACAAGCGCTGTAAACTTTGCGAAATTCAGCCGCCCTCTTGAGTTCCCTATTTCGAAGATTCACCAGTCTGCTTGAGACTAGTAGTAGTTCTGATATCTCTGGTCCTTCTAGAAGTGATCATATTATTTCCCAAGCATCTGTATTTTTCTCAGAATGGTTGTCTCATACGTAAGTTGACGATCATATTGGTGAGTATTCTCCCGCTGCGCATTGTGGAAGACTGAACTGTATCTATAATTTGAGAGCAGTCCAAAATAAGAGTGTGTAGTCGGGCGGGTGGCTAGGTCCAATGATTTCTTATGTTCCAGTATGTTCGCCTTTACCCTCTTATCCTTTTTGCCTCACCGATGCTCAGGTACTAACAGAAAGTTTTCCCAAGGAACTTGAAGAATGTTTCGGATCCCTTCTTCTCTGACATAATACCTCTAGCATAACTCACTGCCTATGCTCGATGCGAAGGCGTCGTGTGTTGGCATACCCACGACTTGTCAACTGAACCGACAGAGCATTCTATCACAGATCCTGACGTCGTGGGTGCCCTGTCTCGCTGAGCGGGATCTACCACAGGTCTTTTACCTTGCGTCTTCTGCATGAGACTCATTATCGGGTCGCAGAAGTGCTCTCCCCGCGGCCAGCTTCTTTGAGGCGATCAAAGGGTGCTCAGGTTGACGTCCGAAGCTTGGTACCGTTTACGTCCTTGTAAGACGTGTATCTATGTTTTGTCCTCACTTCATCGCTTCGAATGGAAGTATACGGCGGATCAGCAAGCCCAGCGGGTGTGCAAGCGTGGCTATGCAATGCTAGGATTTACTCCTCCCCTCTTTGCCGAGCGCGCGACCCGGACTTCTCGTCGTCTTTTCTCATTTAATACAATGTCTCAGCCCCTCTCATTTCTCTCAAGCACGACGACATACATCCTTTCTCTTCATGACAGTATTACAGTCGAAAACTCAGCATGTCGTAAGTGGGCTCGACATATCAGATGAGACTTCCGCTCAATTGATATTGCTCAAGTCGACCACGCGGCAGGCCATGTCAAAGGCGAGACTTACTAATACATCTTCGGTACGTCTCTACCCCGTGTACTATTAGGCGATCGTTTACATTAGCTGTTCAGGCGCCACACAAACAAGCCTCCATGAAGAATGCGGTGCCAGTGTTTCCACTAGAGATCTTCGAATTGACGCTGGATGAACTGCATTCGCAGTCTGACCATAAGGCGCTATCCATCTGCGCAGCCGTATGTCGAGCATTCGCCCACCGGTGCCGGGTGCATCTTTTCCGTCGAATGAAAATCTCGACCACTGCGATTAAAGCTCATCTTATACGTCTTTCCGGCCAGCCACATGCGGCGCCCTACTTCAAGTATGTGCGCAGCTTGTCTATAATGTGCAGCTGCACGCTCGAGGATGTTGTGCATCTATCTGCCATTATGCCAAACGTCGAAGCCCTCGAGTTCGCTACAGGGAACGTGACGCCCGTCTGGTCAGCTCCTCCCACATCATTGGTGCTATTTTCCACAATTTCAACGCTTGACATACGGTCTTGCACGTTTCCCTCGCTCGAAACACTCCAGCAGACAATCGATTCACTTCCCCAGCTTTCGACCCTAAAACTTCAGGGTGTCAGGTGGCATGATAGCGGCGCTCTCCCCAACTTCGCGCTAGGTCAAAAACTCCATCTAACCAAACTCATTCTCGAATTCATGGTCAGCCCTAACGCCACATCGTTCCTGGAATGGCTGCTTTGTACCCCTATAGTGGATACTATCCGCGTTCTGGACATTGCGGATTGTGCAATGTCCACTCCGGTTCTGTTGCACTTCCTCGCACGTGTGCAAAACTCGCTGGACAAGCTGAGCCTCCGCTTCCGCTCCCACAGCGATTGTGAGTAGAATCGTTGGCTGTAGCAGACATTTGCTGATTTCTACGCTCATCGTTACACGATTTCAGCAAACGTTCTCGATGCTTGGCGCACTGCTGGACTACGGTTCAAGCTGACTTCGTTGGATATAGGTCTTGACGAACGTTTGACTACGCCATGTCGGTTGGCCTTATTGGTAAACATCCTAGAGAATTCGTTCTGCCAAGGACTCCGCCGGCTCCGGCTCCGTTTAGATGCATCCATCGTTTCAGGCGGGAAAACGTGGGTTGAAGGAAACCTTGCCCTGTTGGAGGCTCTAGACGTAGTTCTGCAAAAGGATCTCTTTCGTGATCTTCACCGCTTTAACCTGGTGTTAGAGGGGAAGATCCACAGCGACATAGACCCACAATCCGTTACGGAATTAGTCATGAAACATCTTCCGAATCTGCGAAATCGCGCTGTTCTTGTCGAGATCCAGGTGTATGGCACTCTCTTCCAGCTGCAGTAGATTGTTTACCTCTGGCCGTGCGTGTTGTTCTACACTACACCGTATTTATTGATATCCATACGCTGAACATTTACTGCTTGAGATGGAAATCTGCTTGATCGTACACCAGATTGCAATAGTTAGGAGATGCTCGAAAGGGAAACAACAGTAATTAGGAGGCTGTTTGGGTTGTGATGGAGAACTCTATCTGTCTAAGACCAGATCATCGCAAGCGCCATTCAGAGCTCTCCTGAATCGTAGGACAACATAGATACCGGTCATTCGCCGTATTCCATCAACGGCTACTCACCCGGCTTATATGCCTTCGTTGGCAACAAAGAAAAGTATGCTCATCGTCTTGGGGGCCGAGACTTGTACGAGGAGCACACGCGGCAAGCCCCACCGAATTTAAGCCTCGGAGTCGTTTAGCGTTCGAAACCAAGCTGGATTCATGATGCGGACTGTCACGAATGGACGAATGGATGGATGATGCGTTTCTTCGAGATGAGGTCCCTTGGGAAACGCCCCACTGACACCTCTCAGTTGGATGATGGCTGGTCGGCCATGCTGCAGTCGTACCTATACGTCGAGAGGAAATTTAGGCTGCAAATGAGGCTCGTACACACACAAAATTGTCGCTAGAGAATAAGATATTGTCCCTGAAGATATGAGGATTCAAAAGGTTCGCGCAGAGCAGTTATTGCATCAATGCTCTCACCCGTATCGAAAGACTGTCTATACATTCTGCTTTGATTTAGCATATGCTCACTGGGTGCGTAGTATCGTATCACCTGGAGAATTTACGATGTTATTTTCTTTGTATCTGTAGCTAGAGCTAGTTGAATACGTTGTACGAGGCTTGAGTGAACGGTAATGGATACCACCTTTCATTCTGTTGTCAAGTATTCTCATCTCTATCAGCAGCTAACATTATCAATTGCCGGCAGTTCTGCCCTGCATACCAAACCCTGTTTTCATATGTTGTTGACATGGGCGAACCTCATAGCGAACCGGTCGAACTAGACGACATAGATACTTCTCGGACACGAAGATTGAGCATGTGCCTAGTCAGCGCACAACAGCATTAGATGTGTCCTATACACAAAGTGCGAACAAGGCAGTGCACCCATCTCGCATCCACGGACCAGGGCTCGACTAGAGTGCGCATCTCCCATCCCTCGAACCAAGGGTAGCTATGACCTTGCCACCTGTGCGATGCCAACCTAGCGACAGCGCCACCGTATCCGTCACTGTTGCATGACGCGCATTCCCACCACCGGACACGACGGGTCCCGAGGCCAGGGACTGCGGTCAGCTGATACCAGTGCCAAAATTCCGTCCAAAGCGCGGCACAATACATGAGAATGGGTCGAAGCCGACGCATACAAAGATATGTCGCAGAAATGGACTTCGGAAACTAGTGGTGCACACATGCGTCGCGGACGACATCAAGGAACGCAACACTGTAAAGACATAGAAAGGACGTCGCATATTGTCGTCATTGGCCATCTAACATGGAGGAATAATGTGAGCAGAATGACAAGGCGTAGAAGCCAGCAGATGTTGGCCCTGGTTTGCTTTCGCCGGAAGATTGTGCAGAGATTCTCGACGCGAGACGGAACATGGAAATATAAGCCCCATTAGAGCGCATAGCGGACGACAGATGGCCAGCGCTGACCTGGGCGTCCGGCGATGGGCTACTCATGCGCAAGATCTTGATGTCCTGCGCGTTTGTGCCTTTTGCATACGAGCGAGACATCGTGTCGTCACGAAGTCGAAAAATGTGATAGGTCTAAGGTGGGTGTGCGTGCAACTGTGAGTGACAAGGCCGCGAGACAGCCTGAGGGCCTGTCGACTTCACAGACTCTGCTTTTTCGTCTGGGCGCGCGCTCCGGTGACGTACAAGCTCAGCAGTTTGTGCGATCCTGAAGGGCTCGGACGTTAGGGTGTCAGCAGCGCAGGCGTCGGTACGTACCAACGTCTTAACACTTAGTACTCAGTACTCAGTGCCCGGGCGGGAGTCGGCGCTGCTAGGCAGGGGACCGGTAGCGCATTATGCGTGGTTAGGAGTAATATGTGAACCTTGTGGAAAGGGACGTTAGGAGAGGCTTGTAAAGCAGCCGCAGTATCGACCAAGGATTCGAACAAGATCGAATCGGTTCGGTTTTCTTCTTGTGCTCCATTGAAGTTGCGAAAAGCCTCGCGATACGAGCCTAATCCCGTTCATCTCAGCTACATATGAGTATGTTGAATCGGATTCAAATGATCGTAAGCTAACAAAAATGAGCTCATAACTTATTGACAGCCCGGTACACCTCAACAACGCTTTTTTCATTCAAATATTCGCCCTTGGTGTCGCGCAGCTCATGTACTCACTGGTTCTCAACACAGCAGGAAGTCACGATGGTATGTCGAACAATGATCTCTATGCACGATATACCTGGCTCGTGGAAGCCTGCCTCCCATTGCCTCCGATTCCCCCAGAAAACATGTTCGGAGAGAATCAAGAGATCTAAACGACGTTAAGTACGAGACCGCGTTGGGTACGGCCGCACATAGGGAGGATAGGCGACAATTCGATACAACGTAGTGTTGATGGTTGTTCCAGCAATACGGGTGGGAAACGCTGCAGTTCGCTTATGGCTCCTCACTGTAGGCATTGCAACGAGATTCCGATAGTGAGTGTGACTGCTTTGTGCTCTCAGTGATTGTTGCGGCCCCATGGCTCAGTAAAATGAGAAAATGCAGGATCGTGTATCTCAGCTTGAGGCTTGCTTGGAAATCAGATTACGCCCCGTCCGGCGGCCTCGGCGGCTAGGTGCCCGGTTATAAAAACGTGGCTTCGTGGAGTCGTCGCAAGCTACGTGGGATTGCTACCGAGCGATCGGTGAGTTTCATTCCCGGATGGCCTTTTATGCCCCAACTGTGTAGCTCGGTCGGAGTGTGCGCCCCCATCTCAGCCTGAGCGCGCGAGGCATTTACTTCACTATCTACGTAGGATCTTGCGTACCAATACGCGTGCTTCCTACAGTATCACAACTTCTGTCCCCCTCACTATGCAGTTCGAGCAAAATGGCCTAATTCAGCTCGGGTATGGAATTGGTGGTCCATGGTCGCCACCTGCGCGAATCTTTTATGATCGATCAACGTCCGCTCTTGCGCCGTGCCCGCGTCCGCGGTCACACATGAGCGCAACGCCGAAGTTGTGGGATCACTGGAAGCCAGCGCTACCAGTGTAATCTGGTCTTAGACGAGGTTTTGCGATAGGGTCTTATAGAGAAATCCCATCGCAGATACTCTGTCATCATTCCACGATACAAACCTCTTGAAATGCTTTACGAGTGGCCATTACTTGCTATTCACATCGCTCGTGGTTGGGGCGCGACAAGCGCTTGTTCTACATTCCATCCCCCGCCTTGATGCGATCCTCGTAAGGAACTGGGCCTCACTTTACTTTAGCGGTGGCAATCTCCATTCAATTAGCAAGTGGCTCCCGGTGGCGGCCATGACTCGCCATCGTGTGTCGTCTCTTTTGGCACGATATAAAAGACCAGGACAGACGTTCATGGTTTACATCGCCCTTCGACGGTCGCCTCATCACCTCGATCTTTCGCCAGTCACAAAATGAAGTTCCTCGCTGTCATCGCTTCTCTCGCAGCTACGTGTCTCGCCCAAGGTATCACTATCCAGACATCGACCAACGGGACGGTATATCCAGGACAGAACTTCACTGTTGAGGTTACCAAACCGGCGCGTGCTTTTCTCTTGGTCTTGCGTTAACTCTGCATCTCATTCTGATCCTGGTCTATGGCTTACAGGTTGAGGCGACGCCCTCAGTCGAAGTGGCGATTGTAATCGGCCTCGTCCAGTGCCCAGACCAGAACTGCAACTCGTCGGGCTTCAACATCTCACAGGACATTGGTTATACTCTTTACTACGGGCCTTACAACCCGCAGTACGACAGTATCGTTCCTCCGGACCACAAGCCGCCGTACCAGAACTTCACCGTGCAGGTGCCCACCCAATTCGGATCTGGCGATGAGGTCGCGCTCAGCGTGACGCGTCTCGCGCTGGCGGAGGTGCGTCGAGTTTACATTTTTATATCCACCCCGTTTCACGGATACTGATGTGTTACTGTGTTATAGATGGCAGCCGGGAGCTCCATTTGGCTGGAGATCCCTTGGGTTCCTCTGACAGTGCAGTAGGTCGTATCTTGCATTGTCATAAGCTCGTAGTAGTCAATTTCATTGGGACTGTGAGTTCGAATTTTAGACTAAGTTGATGACACGGCTGCTTCACACTTCATTGAATTGATGTAATGTTTTGACCTGCAAATTTTCAACCAAGTTGTTGGTCAGTTGTGTGTGCTCTAGTAGTATGTTGTGCAATAGTGCCACACTGTCTGGCTCCAGGAATCGCATGGTTTGACGTATCAGCTGGAATGGGACCGGGAGTTAAATTCCACAAATACCAACATATTTTCTGCATGCATCCAACTAGCAAACCGAGTTCACCATCGCTCATCAAAACCCACTCTCAGCCCCGGGAGCAGCTAGAGCTTGCGTCAGTGTCGGATGATGGACTCTATATGGCGAGCGTACCAGACCAAACGCTTCTATGGTTGATATGCTCATAACGCATAAATTTGATAACGCATAGATTGGCCCAAGGTCCCACGGTGGGCACACTGAAAATTGCATGAAAATTGCATAATGCATAATATATAAGCACAAGAATTGAAAGTACGTATTATGAGCTAGGATAATAGGGAGCTCAACTCGTAAACATAAAATAAGTATAGCTTACAGTCATTGACTAGTGATGTCCTTCCCAGCACTTTGATGCTTTTATAGCTCAGTTCTTCACAGAATTCATGAAGACCATAGTGAAGTTGTCATTTGAGGGGGTCAGTACGGGGGAAATCCTCGAGGAAAAGGAGATATTAGCTTGCGAGACTCTTGTGGTGCACGCCGATGATGTGTTCTCCCATCATACCCTGCATTACACACCTCGGCACCAGCCTCTCACCTGACCATGCGAGAAATCAAAGTGAAGTCCTTGCAGGCGTTGCCGGATCTCAAACATCGACGAATCGTCCGAGTCTGTGTTACAAGGAATTGCACCCTACTAAGCGTGCCCTGCAGTCGCCAAGTGCGTCGGCGATGCAAGGGCGCCCTCATGCTCGTATAGCGGAGGCAGGTCCCCGACATCCATACGGAAGATGTACTTCCTGATATTGTGCGGCAGCGCCTTGAGTTGGTACGTGGCGTGCTTGCGCGTCGGCACAGAGAACACCTGGTCGAGCTCCTCGAGCGACAGCGCTTTCGTCTCGGGCACGAACAACAGGATCAACACGAATCCAAGCACGTTCCACGCGGCATACCACCCAAATGCGCCCTGCGGCTTGAACGCGCCGAGAAGGCGCGGGAAAGTGAACGCGATGACGAAGTTGCTGTGGGCCCGTCAGTCATAATCCAGCGCGCAGAACGGATGCGAACTTACAATAACCAGAGCATGGCGGTTGAGAATGACATGCCGACGTCGCGCACGTACAGCGGGTACGCCTCCGCAGAATACGTGAATGGCACGGGACCCTCGCCAGGTGAGTACGCCATGGTGTACAGATAAATGCCGAGCGCGACTACCGCAATCTGTGCCTTACCCTTGGGAATGTAGAACGAGAAGCCAGTCATGAGCAGGAAAATTGCCATGAGCGGGAACGTCGTCAGCAGCAGGTTGCGGCGGGGC